TGAGTGTCTACTAATGAGTGCAATAATAATATAACATCTGTCTAGAATGTAGAATAGACAGGATAAATAAATATGATGAAGACTTTGTGGACTGATGTACGTCGCATAGAAAGAAGCTCACTATAAAGTCCCCTCAGCAGTTGTGCTTATGAGCCAAGATGACCACCAAATGAACCTATCATATCCTACACATTTAGTGCAGAAGTGTAGCATGAGTATATAAATCAAGGTGTACCAAGTAAGTATCTAGCCTAACTCTAGAGAAGTAGTGATGAGGGGTCGACATCGACACATACTAGTAGTCAAACAAAACAATATAATAAATCATAGCCAAATAAGAATCACAACAGTAACAATGAGGTAAACAATGTAACTCACATAATCCTCCAACATTTCTTTTGATGATATAAATATCTCAAATCTCATGTGCTATCTCAATAGATAAGAAATATTAAGTGCAATCTCAAACGAATAAGGAATGTCATATAAGTACCAGATCTCAATTAAAGGGGAATATCATAAATATTCGAACTCCTAGCGGTATCAAACACGATTATACTGAGATCGTACGACCCGATCCAGAGTGGTGTGTACGCTGTCGAGGGTCGACTGGCGCAAACCAGAGATGCATCTCCAATATACTGATTAGGCGTTCGGCCCGATCCACATGAAAGAAAGAAACTTATCGAATTACGAGCCATATGTTTGCAATACAAGTACAGGAGCACAAAGTAAACATGACTAGCATAAAGTAAACATGATGTTTATCGTCTATCAAATATCTCGTCAAACAACTCAAGGTGATAAAGCTCAGTCTAACATATTCCCAATTCATTTCAATTATTTGTTCAATTAATTAAGCAAGCAAATTGAGTTCAACTAAGTCAAATGTTACATGATAAAGTCCTAAGTCTACCCGGACATAAACATGATTTTAGCAATATACGGACTCTCTTCACCTCGTGCGTACATATCACCAACAACTAGTAGCACATAACAATTTAATATCTACAGGGTAGTTTTTTTCTTACAAGTTTAGACATGAGACTTACCTTGCTCCGACGTTTCATAACCGGCTCCAACGCCTCTCTAACAGCTCAAACCGATGTCATTCAATCCGAAACTAGTCAAAAACATGCAAACCAATCAAAATATACTCAAATACTCTTAATTTAACAATTTATAAAAAATTCCAATTCCGCCTCGAAAAGTCAACAAAGTCAACTCTCGGGCCCACGTACTCGGATTTCAAATATTTTCGAAGATAAACATTACCCATAACACCATGAACTCAAATATATAAATTATTCCCTATTTCATATCCAATTTTGTGTCAAAATCGAAAAATACTAAATTCTAGGTTTTCTTTCAAAATCTCACAATTTCTACCAATTTCCATATTTAAATCTTTGTAGAATCCATGTAATTAACTTACAGTATGTGAGAATTACTTACCTTGCCATAGATTATGAAAATCTTCCCTTGAAGAGCTCCAAAAATCGCCCAAACCATATGTGAAGTGGATAAATGAGCCAAATCCTGAAATACATTAAAGTCTGCCCGGGCTTTTCCTATTCGCGATTGCGGAAGCCCCATTACGATGGCGAAGGCCAAAAATGCTACTGACCAAAATTACTCTACGCGTTCGGGACCACCAAGTCGCGTTGACAAAGCCTTCAGATCCTGCTGCTCCGCATTCGCGGTAAACGAGCCGCATTTGTGAAGGCTTAACGGCTTTAGGTCCCCCGGCTCCCGATCCTTCTACGTGTTCGCGACTCCCTGTCGCGTTCACGAAGGGCAACTCATCTCCTTCTCTGCGTTCGTGACCTCTTCGTCGCGTTTGCGATGATTCCCATCAGTCCACAAATACTTCTTTAAGATCGCGTAAGTCCACTAGCGATCGCGAAACACGACACCATTAACAACAACCAGCAGCATCAAAGCACCTAAACTTGGTCCAAAACTATCCCGAATCAAACCCGAGGCCCTCGAGACCCCGTACAATCAAACTAACAAGCTCCAATACCTTATCCAAACTTATCCAAAGTCTCGAAATGCCACGAATAACATCAAAATCATGAATCAACGGTCAAAATTCTTCTTTCAACTTTCAAACATTCAAACTTCGACGAATGCGTCCGAATCATACTTAAACATTCCGGAATGACGCCAAACTCTACGTACGAGTTACAAATTATGATACGAACTTATTCCCAGGCTCATAACCACAAACATACATCAATAACATCAATGTTCACTTCAAATCAAAATTAGAAAATTCTAAAACCTTCGAAATGCCAATTTCTACATTAAGCGCTGAAACGCTCCCGGATCATCTGATACTCAATCCGAGCATACGCCCAAGTTTAAAATTTTTATACGAACCTATTGGAACCTTCAAATCTTAATTTCGAGGTAGTTTACTCAAAAATCAAACCTTGGTCAACTCATTCAACTTAAAGCTTACGAATTGAGAATTTTTCTTCCGAATCAACTCTGAACTTCTAAAAATTCAATTCCAACTACACGTACAAGTCATAAAATATGAAGTAGAGCTAATCAAGGCCTCAAACCACCGAACAACATACTAAATCTCAAAACGATCGGCTGGATCGTTACACAGGACTTAAAAATAAGATTGTAAAGTAAATCGAGTTAGAAGTAGGATTATTACAGTAAGGCTTGTATTGAGGGAGGGGACATCAATATCATCAGTGCCTATGCTCCGCATATAGGATTAGATGTTGAATCTAAAGCTAAGTTTGGGAGTATATGAATTTTTTGATTCAAGGGATTGTAGTGGACCAATAAATCTTTTTAGGAGGGGGAGGGGGGGAGGGGATTTAAATGGCCGTATAGGTAAAGATAACAACAGTTTTGAACAAGTTCATAAGGGTTATGGTTATGGTACTAAGAATGATAAAGGGAAGGTTATATTAGAATTTTCTTTAGCTTATGATTTAATGGTAGTTAACATATTTTTCAAAAAGAGATATCCATATCTAGTAACATATAAGAGTGGGGGTAATCATAGTCAAATCGACTTTATCATTAAGAGAAGATGAGATATAGATAGATACAAGGACTATAAGATTATTCCAAGAAAAGCGATGATCACCCAATATAGGTTAGTAGGCTTAGATGTAAAACTTAAAAGTAGAGTGAGAAACGAGATGACTTGCAAACAACCCCATATTAGAAGGTGGGTTTTAAAAGGCGCTAATCAATTAGCGTTTCAAGAAAAGGTATGAGAAAAAGGCTCTTGAGATTTAGAGGGAGAAGCAGATATCTTGTGGAAAAAAATATCAGGTGCATTAAAGAAATTGCAATGAAAGTACTAGGCATGTCTAAAGATATAGGACCTAGGCCAAAGGAGTCATGTCGGTAAAATAAAGAGCTACAAAAGTTATTAAAGCTAAAAGAGAGTGTTAGAGGAAGTTATCAAAAACAGATGACGAAGAAGGCTTTGAAGAATACAATAAAGTTAAGAAGGAAGCTAAGAAGGCAGTTATTACATCCCGAGAGGAAGCTCTAGATGGCTTATACCAAAAGCTAGAGACAAGAGAAGGGGGAGAAAGAAATATTTAAACACGACTAAGAGAGAGGAGAGATAAGAATTTAAATCAGGTGAATCGTATTAAAGACAATTGTCAATAAGTGTTGATAGGATAACGATATCAAGGACATATGGAGAGGATATTTTGATCAATTGTTCAACTCGAATTAAGATAATAGCATTTTATATCTCAAGACATCTGTTTACGATAAAAACTTTAGCTATACCCATAGAATTAGGATGATAGAGATAAAGAATACCATAAAAAATATGAAGGTTAAAAAGAATTGTGGTCTAGATAGTATCCCTATAAAGGTTTAAAAGTTTCTTGGGAAGGTTGGAGTAGTATGTATCTCCAAACTATTTAATGTCATACTAAGAAGTGATAGGATGCCCGAGGAGTGAAGGAAGACGACCCTGATTCCGATTTATAAGAACAAAGAAGAAATATTCAAAGTTGTGCGAACTATCGTGATATTAAATTCATGAGTCATACAATGAAACTTTGGGAAAAAGTGATAGAGCGTAGAGTTAGGAATACAACAAGAGTGGCAGAGAACCAATTTGGATTCGTGCCTGTAGATATACAACAGACACTATAGAGATTTATCACAAAAGAAAGAAAAATTTACACATAGTGTTAATTGACCTAGAAAACATATATGATAGAGTATCCTGAAAGGTCCTTTGGTGGATAATAGAGAAAAAAAGAAATTTATATTAAATAAATACATATCACAAAAGGCATGTATGGAGGAGATGTCACTAGCATGAGAATAATAGTAGGAGATAGAAAGGAATTTCCTGTAACAATGGATATAACATTAGGGTTATGTATTAAACTCCTACTTATTTATCTTAGTTATAGATGAGCTAACCAACAAAAAACAAGATGAGATCCCATGGTTTATGCTATTCGCTATAATAATATTGTGCTAATTGACGAAAATAGCGAGAGTGTCGACTGAAAGCTTGAGATATGGAGAAACATATTAGAGAGTAAGAGTTTTAAGATAGGCAAAAAATATTAGGGACCCCTTTGAATTTGACAGCTTTTATTTAGTTCCCCCTTTAACTGTACTGGCTCTTAAATGCCTGCCTAAACATGAATTATTTTCCTTTAATTAACCACTTTATTGAGTTAAGCCTACAATCATGTATGCACGTGCTACACACGGTGGAAAAATATATNGCTTTTTTCTCTTAAATGGTTCTTTTACTTCTCACTATCATGTAGAGGGAGTTTTGAGAGTACTCGCCAACTGGGTTCTTCGATAAATCTTCCCAGTGGGTTTGTTCATTTGTAAAGCATCCCTAATTAATCATTGCTTATTCACATTTTCATTCTGATCGGTGTCTATTGGGGTCTGTTTTCGCCATCAAACATCTAAAGCTTTCATATCACAAGGAACATTCTTCATTGAAATTCTAATTAGGGTAAGTAATTTCTTTACCGAAAAAGTAGTAACTCTTTGGTGTATTTTTACTGATTTTGATTTTATTTTACCGACTAATATTTTGATTAGAGTTTCGATTGTAGTAACAATGACTTAGGGATTTTAAAATTGAAAGTACTTAGAATAAAATTCATGACTACTATGGTATTTGCGTAACAACTTAAAAAAAATAGGACTTGTCTGTTAAATACTTTATCTTTGTTTGAATTTGTCGGCTTGTAATCTATATATTGATATAAAGGAGGGACTAGAAGAGGTGATGTGTCATATCTCTTTGACTACGAATCATCATTTATCTATTTCCTCATTTTTAGGCTTTTCAGAAAATTAAATTTATCTATTACTTAAAAAAAGGTCTCTTCAAAAGTCGCTTCCCCTCGCTGAAAAGTCACTCTCTACTACCTTGTCCGATAATTATATGTTCCACTGTATCTCTCCCTCTCATACCGGGCAATGTGATTATTAAGTAATGTGATAAAGAAAAAGAAAAGGATGCAAAGCGGAGGAGATGAAGTTACCATTAAAGAATTGGTTTCAAATCTCTACTTACAGAAAATAACTTATGGTAAAACCCTAATTTATTTTCTCTGTGCTTTCTGAATTGTACATGGTACTTTTCTGAAGGATTTTCGTCATCAAGTTCATTTTAAATTTTCTCTCTTTTGTTCTTATTTTCGACTGGGGGGTCTCTTTTTCCTTCTTTGTATTTTCCTTCATTTTTTCTACTTACTTTTCACTTTGTCTTATTTAACAAAAAAAAAAAATTAAAACTGTTTAATAACATTACTCAAATAAAGTCGAAAGACATTTATGAAAATGAAAGATGAAAAGACATCAATTTTCATGATATTTCGTTTTCCCAGAACTATTCATTTTCTTCAACTATACCTTTTTATAACCAACCATATGCCATAGTATATCTACTGGTTGAAGGCTTGTATTTGATTGATTAGATGTAAGGAAACTAAAGGCAGAAGTGAAGTTTCTATTATGCACTCTTCCTGAAACTCCGAGAACTACTGCTCACTGAGTTAAAGTTGCACATCTGATCAAATGGCATGAGGTATGTATTGAACTTCACACCCCTTGGTTGTCAAGCTATCTAAACCAATTGCTATGTTGTTCACTCCAAAAGTTTTATGCAGGCTCGTAGTGAAAGAATTTGACTTGGTACTTTTCGTAGCGTCTATTCTTAAGAAGATATCAGTCTTTTCTGTTATTTAATGACTGCCCCATAATTACTTTTCTTCTGCTTTGTACTTCCTAAAGTAGCAAAGTACTACATTCTTTTGCTTTTTCACTACTTTAAGTAGGATTTTAATTGTTGCATTGTAATTACTCTTTCGGTATTATTGATGGAACGAGATAATCTATATGCCTATTCTATTTATACTCCATCAAAAGCATCGGTTATCAATATAAGTTGAACTCTTATTCTAAGGGCAGCATGTTTATTGAAATAGAAAAAGAAGGAAAAACGAAGAGGAAAGAGATAGAGAATCAGAGAAAAAAAGTTGTACCAGGAAAGGTAAAATTAACACTTTTTTCACCTGCGGGAACTAATACGTGAACATCAGGTTAAATATTGCAACATATTTACCCTGTTGCTAAGAAATGGATGTATGGGCAGTCACACATTTGGAGAAAATTATTGTGGACTAAGCATTACTGTGAAGTGTGAACCATTGATTCTGTGGAAACTAGAACAAGGTAATCTTGAATAATCTTTCCTTTTGTGGGACAAATGGTCTGGCCTTGGACCTATATCAAAGCTGGTTACCCAGGTCAACACTTCTAGAAGAAACACACATAAATAATCATAACGAATAATATAAGGGATGTTCAACTGTCATAATATGGATAAGTGCAAAAATATATCTGAAAATCAACATCAAAGTGCGAAAACACTACATCAACCCCAAAAACCGGTAGTGTAAGTCTTGATCTACTAAATGGAATACATTTAAAAGATAAAACAACTTGGAACATATAAAAAATATAACCCTATTTGGATTGCTCGCCAAAACTGGTTATTTTTACATTTAAAACAACTTGGAACATTCTCATGCAAACTCGTAATTCTACTTCTTGTGTTCACTAGACACACTTAGACAATAGTATGAGTGTTTGATAGGTCACAATAGTTTTTAGGTTTTGGACAGAGGACGATAGTTGCACCAAAGCGACGACGGGACTGAGACAAAGNCAATATAAGGGATGTTCAACTGTCATAATATAGATAAGTGCAAAAATATATCTGAAAATCAACATCAAAGTGCGAAAACACTACATCAACCCCAAGAACCGGTAGTATAAGTCTTGAGCTACTAAATGAAATACATTTAAAACATAAAACAACTTGGAACATATAAAAAATATAACCCTATTTGGATTGCTCGCCAAAACTGGTTATTTTTACATTTAAAACAACTTGGAACATTCTCATGCAAACTCGTAATTCTACTTCTTGTTTTCACTAGACACANCTTGTGTTCACTAGACACACTTAAACAATAGTATGAGTGTTTGATAGGTCACAACAGTTTTTAGGTTTTGGACAGAGGACGATAGCTGCACCAAAGCGACGACGGGACTGAGACAAAGTCACAGATGCGGGATAAAGACTTAGACGAGAAATATGAGAGGATAATGACTTATTTAATGATTCCAGTGATGTTTCCCAATTTGGACTGCTCACCGAACTGCTTTTTTACATGTAAATCAGCTTGGAATATTCTCATGCAAACTCAGAATTCTGCACTCACTTGTGTTAAAATATGGCACAATAGAATTTCCTTTAAAGCATCTTTTTTCATGTACAGGGTTACTTGAGCACAAGCTTTCCATCGAAGATATTCACAGAAAAATTGATGTGCATGGTCCATCTAGATGCTTCTGTTGTAATGAATACTCTGAAGAGACCTTCAATCGTTTATTTTGCATTGGTGAACTTGCAACTAAAGTCTATACTTATTTTTGCAAAAGTGCAGGTTTCACTTTTAATGCCTCATACTACTAAAAACATGTTCATGCATTTGTGGCAGTAACGCAAAAATTAAGCTGCAATCTTTCATTTTTCAATGCTTGCCTTCTGTCGTATGTTGGGAATTGGGAGATGCAATCATACAAATGCACCTAGAGATTTGATGCCATCAGAACATCTTTTTGAAGAGTCACTGAACAGTGCAATTATCTTATGAAGCTCATGATCAATGCTCAGTTTCCTATATTCTCTTCCTCTGCCACATGATTGGAGCTTTGTGATTTTGCTGACAGAGAGAAGCACCAGCTGAATACCACTGTTAAATGCGAAAATAGTATTGGGTCATCTTCCAATTCAACCTGTAACTCATATAAGATGTCTGCTTTCGGCTTTATTTTTAGTAAAAGTGCTGTTAAGCTCATGTCGCTCTTGCTCTGCTATGGATCCTCCGGATGCCAATCAATAAATTACTTCATTAAAAGAAAATAGAAGATAGATGTTGGTTAACTGGATTAAATGATCTTTACTCTACTTTGGTATGTGACTCCTTTTTTACTGTGATTCCAACCTGAACCCCAACCATTACTTGGTAGTTTATAAAAACAAATGCAACACTTTATGTTGCAGTTATAATAATCAACATCCGTGTATTGGTTCATGTAACTTTATTACCGCCTAAAAAAGGATGATTGGATTGGGAAGAGTAGAGTTTGTAGGATGTGTAACTCTATAAATAGGAAAGGAAAAAATAGTTGATTAGTTTAGGCATGTTATATTGGATTAGAACTCTATCATTTAAAATCTACTAAATATGTGATATCTTACATTATATATTTATTTTTATATTATAATTTTTTTTATTTCTTATCTATATCAATTAAATTTAAAAAAAGATCATGTTTGACCGCGCGAAGCGGGAACAAATTAACTAGTTTTAAATAATTAAGAGTTGGGACCTATCTGTTAAATACTTTATCTTTATTTTAAATTATTGACTTGTGTATTTTATTGTTACATGTAAAATTCTCTTATATTATTATTTGCGGCTTTAGGATAATCTATGGTCTCGAAATATTTTGACCTAAGGTAAAAAGTTTGAGAGATGATGGTGAATGAGGTGGGGTTGTCTATATTGGGGATAGAGCATAATATATGTTTAATGTAGAGGATCATTTGTCAATTTATGAACTAGCATATTATGCTAGGAGTTTTGGAATTACTAACTTAGGAAAACCCTTTTGATTTCATCTAAGAAGGGTAATTTGGTTGAATTTATAAAAGATAGGGACGTATATGACCTTTCAGTATACTTGTCCGATGGGAAGACAATAGATATTTATGTGGGCGAAGACTCAATTATGGAGGAGTAAGGCCCTACTGTTATTTCTGGTAGTCAAATAACAAGCATATATGTTAATTTAAGTATAATGGGAGAGCCCTTTAATGCACATATCAACATTAGAAAAGGAAGCATCGAATTTGATTCCGTTCTTGCTTCCTCTAATGTTATTTTAAGTGTTGGGGTGGGTGAACGAGATCTAGAAAAATCTATTGATGTAAATAAAGATGGGTATCTTCAATAGACTTGATAGGTACTGATGAAAAAGAAGTTGCAGAAAATGTCCATGCTTCATCCATTGTAGAACAAACTACAATAACTGAAAAGACTTCAAACAAGATGTTGTAGGCCATAATGGTGCTGAATATGACCAGTCTATTGACAATGAAAGTGATGTGCATAAAGAGTTAAGGATTGTAAAGCATGTGAAAAAATTCAAGCAACAAAATAGGAGGGGCAGAAAAAGTAAGAAAGGAAATGATTATGGTTATCTAGGTGAAGCTGGGTTGGATGAAGGATATGAAGATATAGATAATGAAATGATAAGTCTGAATGGTAAATTATTAGGAGATTAGGCATACTATAATAGTTCTTATTATGGTTCTTTTAATTTTGATGATGAGCTTGAACCTGGATGAAGAATGTGAAGGAGTACAGTTGAGGTAGAAGAAAGAGTAATAGGGTGATTTATGATCCATCGTGCAAGCTTGTGATATGTTAGTTCGATTTGGTATTTGAAAGTGTGACTGAATTTAGGATTGTATTAACAAAGTATGCTTTGAAGAATGGGGTTGAATTAGACAAATATGTCAATAAGCGTATAGTAAGGGTTAAATGTAAAGTTGGTTGTCCATGGATGATATTTGCTCGCAAAAAAGGAAAGAGTGAAAGCTTCACGGTGAACACCTACAATCCAAGAAGAAAAATGTTACAGGACCAAAATCGACTTCCTTTGTAACTTAAACTTTTAGTAAGCGTATCTTAAAGATAGGATCATCCTACAACCTACAATCAAAGGGTAGGAAATTTAGGATTGGGTAAGGAAAGAACTTGGTATTTATGTGGATAAGGTTGTGTGTTTAAAGACAAGGAAGGTATTATTATAGGAAGCTATGGGAGATTATATTGTAGAGTTTAATAGGATTCTTGACTACAAATATATACTATTCCAAACTAATCCTGGTAGCATATGTATTGTTAAGTTGATAGATTTAGAAGATGGGAATAAACATTTCAACTCTTTCGACATTTGCGTTGATGCTATGAACAAGTGATTCCACCAGGGTTGTAGGAAGTGTATAGGACTAGTGGGTATTTTATTTAAAGGGATTTGCAAGGGTCAACTCCTAGTAGTTGTTGCCAAAGATGAAAACAACCAAATATCTTCAGTGGCATAGGCAGTAGTTACTACTAAAAAATAGAGACCTGAAGATGGTTCCTTAGAATTTTGCAAGACATTCAGCTGGGAGATAGTTCTCGGGTCACTAGTAATGACATATAAAAGATAATTCTTTTTCTCTTATAGTTTTGTATTTTATTTCAATCGGCATTTTATTACTATGATTGTGTTTCTAATTTTATCTTGTTTGTCCTTTACTGACATAGATTTCTACGTGGTGTTGAGAAAATATTACCTGAATGTGAACATAGGATATGTGCTAGGCATATTCTAGTAAATTGGGCACAGAAATAGAAAGGGATAGAATGAAGAAGAAGATTTTGGGGCTGTGTTAGGTCCACTTATGAGGCAGATCTTAAGAGAAAGTTAGATGGACATGCTCAATTAGGGAATGGGATTGCTGAAGACTTAAGCAGATACAACAAAAAATGATGGTGCAAAGCATACTCAAAACCTTCACCAAATGTGATAGTGTAAACAACAAAATGGCATAATGCTTTAATGCCTAGATCTTGAGCCTTGGGAATAAGGTTTTTACAATTCTAGAAGCAATTAGAGTTAAAATCATGATTAGAGCAAGTAAGTCCAAGGCATTTGCTGAAATATGGATTGATGAGATATCTTCAATGGAAATTATGGTGTTCAATACTATATATAGAAATAAATACATGTTGCAATAGAGTTGAAGGGGGATGAAAGTTTAAAAGTGTTTGAAGAGATAAACAAAGATTATAGTGTACACTTAGAAAGTTGCAAAGTGTAGTTAGAGAGCATGGGACTTAAAAGGGATCCGATGTATGCATGACATAGCAACAGTGCACTACATGGGCAGGATGCAGTAGTGGGAATTTCAAGATGGTACAGTAAAGAGACTTATTTGCAGGCATATTTATATTTCATTCAACACATGCCATCCATGACAATGTGACCAAAAATTGATAATTCAAAGGTTGAGCTACCTGAAGTGGTAAACATACCTGGAAGGCCTAAAAGCAACACGAAAAAGAGGTTGGAGAAGTAAAAAAAGGCTGAAAATTAACAAATAGAGGCATAACTATGACATGCTCAGTCTGCAAGTCAGCCAATTATAATTGTAATGACCCGATTGGTTGTTTGATCTCTAGTATATCGTTCGTCAGTTTGAGACCTTGAGTAGCTTCACTTCATGTATTATGACTTGTGTGTGTAGTCAGACTTGAATTTCGAGAAGTTCAGAGTTGATTTGGAAGGAAAATTCGCAATTCGGAAGCTTTAAGTTAAAAGAGTTGACCAAGGTTTGACTTTTAAGTAAACAACCTCGGAATCAGGATTTGAAGGTTTCAATAGGTTTGTACGATAATTTTGGACTTGGGCGTATGTTCAGGTTAAGTATCGGATGGCCCAGGAGCATTTCGGCGCATATTGTGGAAAATTGGTATTTTGAAGGTTTTAGAATTTTTTAATTTTAAGTTGAAATGGAATTTGGTGTTATTGATGTCCGTTTGGTATTCCGGGCCTTGGAATAAGTTTTTGTTGTGATTTGTGACTTGTACACAAAATTTGATGTCATTACGAAATGTTTAAGTGTGATTCGGACGCGTTCGGCGAAAGATGAAGGTTTGAAAGTTAAGATAGTTTAAGAAATTGAGTTTGATCTTTAATTCTTGGTTTAGATATTTTAATTTGTGTTTCGAGCCTTTGAACAAGTTTACATAGGGTATATAAACTTGTTCGAATTAATGGACTAGGTTCCCCGGACCTCGAGTGAGTTTTGGGATAATTTCGGACCACATTTAGGCCCTTTTGAACTGCATGATGCCAGGGGTGTGAATTACGATCGCGGAGGTCTGGGTCGCGATCGCAAAGAGCAGAGTACATTTCTGTCCTTGTGAATTGCGATCGCATAACGTAGGGTCGCGATCGCGAAGAAGAAATTTTCGTTGTCTGTAGTCTCATTTCGGGAGCTTATATCTTGCCATATATAAGGAATTTGGGGATGATCTAAAAATAAAAGTTGTATCTCTTTGAATCTAATTTTCAAACAATTAAACCATTTGTCATTTGGAAGTTTTTACAAAATATTATGGCAATTATACCGAAGGGTATCTGTGAAGAGGAAAAATAATTTGTACATCGCGATCTCGGGGTTTTGGCCACGATCATGATGAAGGAAAGGATGCTGGAAATTTTTTTAAGCGCGATTGCATGGATAATGACCGCGTTCACAAAGAAGGAGGCCTAGAAGATGTATTAAATATTTAATTTCGGGATTTTAAGTTCATTTATTCACTTTTTAAGTTCTTGGAGCTCATGTGGAGAAATTTGGGGTGATTCTTTAAGATCCTTTTTGCCATATATCATAAGGTAAGTTATTCTTACTTGTTTCAGTTAAATACATGGGTTATATATGAAATTTAACATGAAATTCGATAAAAATTGTGAAATTTTTGGAAGAAAACCGAGAAATGATATATTTGGATTTTGACCATGAAATTTGATATGGAATTAGGAATAAATTATATATTTGAGTTTTGGTATTATGGGTAATTTTTATTTTCAAATAATTTTGGAATCCAGGCACGTGGGCCCAGAGGTTGACTTTTTGAGCGGAGTTGGGAATTGTTAAAAATTATTAATATTGGAGTATAATTTTTTTGGCTTGCACGTTGTTTGTCTATTTTCGGAACGATTGGCATCGATTTGG